GCGAGTCCCCACCTGCCACTAGATGGCCGCTGTGAGTTTGAACGCCGAAGAACAAGTCACTGATGCCCGGGAGAAGTGAGGCTACGGAAGGTTGAACGCACAGCAATAGCTTATCATGCCATGCACGCGCAAAGACTATGGAGGTGTTGCCTACTGAGAGAGCCAGTCTCCACGGGATTAAGTTTGGGACCTCATGATGAAGGTTCGTTTCTTGGAGGTGCCTTATTTCAATATGCCCCTTGATTATTCAAAAGGAGCCCAGCTTCCATCTCAGGCTCGATCTCCCGCGGGGTGCCGCTCCCAGCGGGGGAACATGCATGTGGCGGAGCCATTTTTGGAGGGTACTCTTGGAGAGGTGGTTTTTGACGGGAAGCTGAAGCGAAATCATCCATCTTGAGCCCATTTGGAGACAAGCCCATATCGGAACCGCAAACCGAAAAGCACAGCGAAGCAGCAAGCATGTCATCCAATGGTTGTTTGACATGGGGATGCTGTTGAGGATGCAACTGAGAGTGAACTAAACCTATGCATGCCGCTGAGTTTGCCGCGGGCAATGTAGCAGATGCCCGATTGCACTTGTCCGATTCAGGGGCAGTCATCGGATGTTTGGAGAACGCTTTGCGAAGATGCGCTTGTTGGTTGAAAGGAGCGAACAGATGCTTGAGGACAGGTGATTTAAAATGCTAGCTCCGTTCTTTGGTGCGTCTCTGTGATCTTCAAAGCAGGGTTGCCACAGGGGTGATGTCTTTAAGAGCTACAAAGCGGCAAAGTTGGAGCATGTGGCCTCTTTAGGCGTGAGGGAGAAAACTGCTAAGAAGGCTTAAGGCAATCAAAGAGCCTTGCTTGCTCGTGTTGTTTTGTTGAGACCAGGGTCTCCGCACAGACAGGTAGGGGATCCGGGGCTTGAGAACAGTTACCTGACACCCAAGTCTCGCAGCAGCCTGAAGCCCACCGAAATAGTCCAAAGAAAGCTTATTGCCGAGTCATTCAGTTTGTGTTGCTTTTTGTTTTGTCTTGCGCGCAGTTGTCGGAACCATTGTTGATTCCCATCAAACTGAAAAACCCAGACAAAGGCTTCCCCCGGGCGTGGAGCAAATGTCGGAGGAAGCCCCCCCCCCCCAAAGAGCCCAAAGGAGATCGCTTCGCTCAGGATGGAGACAAGGCGATGCGAGAGTCCTGCCTGGCATTTGCAATTCACGGGCTGGGCTCGTCTTTGAGTTTGTACCCCCTGCTTTAAAGGAAAGCCGTGAGGAGACTGAAGCCATTTTGGGGAGGGTCCCAATTCAACAAAAGGACACACACCCACACTTCATGCGCGCTCTCTTAGGTGGTTGTTTTACACCAGTCTGAACCCTTAAAGGTGAAGCGGCCGCTTGGTGGCACATGCTTAACCGAATCTGAAATTCAATGCCATTGAAATACTGTCAGCCGGCTGCCTCATCCAACCTTTTCGGAGACTTTCTGAAATTGCCCGAGCCAGTTCTGGACACAGATTTCATAGCAACAGTTGCACGACTCACTTCCAGTTCCCATGCTCCTGGCTCCTGCTTGCAGCAAACAAGTACTACCCAGGCCAAGTGTTCAGAACATTTGCGGCATCTATTGCTAGGATTTTCCTTAGGCATCAATGTGTTCATTGTAAGTCTGGCAAAGCTGTGTACCTTGGGTTGGCACGCCAAATATGTTTGTTTTTCAAGACTACTATTGTTTTCATATCGCTGACCGTCGGTTCATCTGGCACTGTCTCGAGCTATGTTGGAATTGGCAGGAGGCATGCACAAGGTCTTTCCTGATTTTTGACATATTACTGTGGATGGACAACATCCTGCACCACTTTCAATCCATGGAAAACCATTTTTTTTTGGTATGTGCAGGGGGAATTGAATCATTCCAGGGTTATGGGTTTCGCCCATCCGCAGTACTGGTGTTGAAGGCAAGTTGACACGATTTGATGCTGCGCCACATGCCGCAGCCTTGGACAGGAAGATGACCTCCTTCCAAAGCAGCTCCTGCAGGTCTGGGCTGGTCGCTCGGGCGGCTTGCTGGATGCCCTTTGTTGACGTGTATTTGAACCCCCCCCCTGAAGATGATAGTCTTGCAAGTTCCTTGTTTTCTGGTACACCTGATTTTGAGCTAGGATTATGCATAATATGAGCGCAGGTACTTCTTTCAATGGCCAGGGACGGAGAACTTGGTCAGGTCATTGTCTCCCTTACGTGGACTTAATGCGCATGTCGGCTGTGCGTTGGCATGATAAAACATCACTCATCAGAACTATTGCCTTCTTGTTTTTGCGCCCACTGCTTCTAGATTGGTGAATCCACCATAATTCGTGCAAGATCTTGTGCTGCCCCTGCCATGATATCTCTACTAATTGTGTCACACACCGTTTGAACAATTTGTCACGGGGGAGCAACTGACCCGCTACGACGCAAAGCCGCCCTCAGGCGGCTTGAGGGTCTTAGACACGTTGAACCATGCATGTGTGTGTGGGCTTTCTTGCAGAAATCCTCCGAAAGCAGCACCCAACTCCTGCTTCTTCAACCAACCAAAATCCCAGGTGTCCAATTTTCCCCATGTCCCCAACATGTGTCCACAAAGCAGTGGTTGGTACGTGGCACAGGCCGCCTCTTCGCCTCTTCGCCTTCGCTGCGCAGGCCGCCCGCTCTGGCAACGACCTAGTCTTACAGCAGCTGCTGGAAGCCGCGGCAGACGTGCCCCGCTGAAATGGGATGAAGGTGGATCGAGGCGGGGATGTTAAATTAAATGGGTGCATCAGGTTGGTTTTTTTTGTTCTTCTTCGGGGTACTTGTTTTTGTGTTGGATCGGGTTGGTTTGATTTGTTGTTGTTTTTTCGGGGAAGTACTTGTGCATGAGTGTGTGTTTCTAAGGACGGCGAAAAGGAGCACCAACCATTCAAAGTTTCCTTCGGGTTTCCTTTTGGTCTTCCTATAAAACCAACCAAACAGGGGTACCAGCTGAAAAACTAGCATCCTCAAATGTTTAAACCTACATATTGAAAACTAGGATTTGGCCCAACCCGGTCGTCTTGTGCTCGTGTTTTGCAAGGAGATGGCAGTCACATTTCCTGACATGCCCACACCCAAAGTTCTGCGGTTGCCCTGGCTGGGGTTGTAGGATTGGATTTCACTCTCTCGGGGAAAGGAGCCTTGCGTCTTCCTGGCGAACTGTCATTTAGCTTGCTGGCTGTTCCGAATGGCTGCAAGCAGCCAAGTGCAGCAGTCTTTCCTCAGACGTGATGGCGTGCAGCTATCATTGAGAGAGACGGCTGATAGCATTGAAATTCCTTGAAACAAAGGGTCTCGAGCCTTTCCCAAAGCATGGCACGAACTTATCGGTTGACCTACTTTGGGCATGAGGTTCGGCATTTATATCAACTAACAGCCGGTCCCGAATGACATACACACGCAACACGCAACACAACACACACACACACACACACACTCGCACACAAAACAACAGAATAGCACGACAAACACACGCACAGACATGCACACACACAGAGTGGCACACAAACCACACAGACACACCGACACATAAACAAGCACACACGCAAATGCAATCCAAACACGCGCACACACACACACACACTCACACACAAACACACACGTTGACATGAATGTGGACACTCATATACCCGCACAACAGAAACACCGTTGTTGCTTTGGTGAGTCCAGTGTGCAATGCTGAGCACCACTGCAAATATCAAACAGAGTGAAACAAGCGCACACGCACATACACACACGTGCGGTTGACAAGGCGTGGACGCCCCTTTCTACAGCAGTCATGTCAGTCGGCACAAAAACGTTCATGACGAGCCTGATGTCATCACAGACAAGCGCAGGTCAGCTCTGCGGAGCACCCAAAATCATTGCTTGACAGAGGGGTCTTACTCGGTTTCCATAGCTCGACTCGGATGATAGGGTCAAGAGCGGATCTCTAAGCCCGGGATCAACAGCTCCTGCACAGACACTGAGGTGGAGTGCCGGAGTTTGCGAAGCCCGGCGCCAGAGAAATCGGGAGGGCCTGGATTGCGCCCAATGCGAGGCAGGAAGGTGTTGCCATTGGCCAGTTGTACATCGGTGTGTGTGTGTGTGTTTTGAAGAGGGCACCCCGGTTTTTGGTTGGTTTTGGAGGGGGAACACCACAACCAGACCACCAGTTTGGGGGGTCCAACCTTACAAAAAAGACACACCTACATGTTCTTTGGCGCGGTGATGTATGTCCATGGCATGTTCTGAAGGCTGACACAGAAGTAATCTGCGCCACGATGCTTCTTTCACAAGCTGCAACACGGCGAAAATACAGTTAACCCTGGATGAGACACATAAAGGCACAGTTTAACTTGCTTTTGGGGCGAGGATCCCAAATGGTAGTGTGTGCACTAACGGGCTTCCCCTTCCAGGATGGTTTTCAATTGTGCCAAGCGGGAACCACCAAATAGTTGGAGAGGTTCCTTGTTTGAGCATGTGATAAAGATGTATGATCCCAAATATGGGGAATGTGCTGAATCTTATGCTAGTTTTGTATGTTTGTTTGGTTCCTTTGAAAGCCCTGGGCATTCTTGCACTTGGCACTTTGGCGGTGTGGCATCATAGCTTTCAGCCAGCACCCCAACTCTGCTTGTTGGTTACCATTCGGGGATTTTGGATGCATGGTTGAAAAAGCGGTTGGGACTCGGGTGCTGCTGGAAATGTGTTTTGCGGGAACTGTTTTCGACAGCAACATGAGCCCCTTGCAAGCCCATGCCAATGTGTTTCTCAGGCCAGCCTCGAGAGGTAGACCACTTGCAAGCGGTATGTGGTGACCCGAATTAAATGGGTATGGTTTGTTTGTTTTTCTTGGCGAGTACCCCTTTTGGTTGGGTTGAACAAGAAGCCAACACCTTGTTGGAGGGAGTCGCTCTCCTGTGCCTCCCACGCCAAAAAAAAAATCGGCCCTGGGATTCGCCAAGTTTGAGCCAAGGTCAGACACCTTTGATGCTGGCGGCTGCGCACAGCGACTTGCCCTAGGTGCCCTTTCTCTCCCCTTTTTTTTGCGGGGGAGTGTTCCCCTACTGTAAATAGACTACAGAAAAAAGGGTACCCTTGTTCTAACCTCTCTACTGGAGGAGTTAGCTTAAAGTATTCAAGCACACTGATTTGAGATAGTTTCCCCCTTTTTTTTTTATCCCACCCGCAGGGGGCCAGTGGGATACACAGCCACCACATAGCCACCACAAATACATACTATAATATATATATATATATATATACATATATATATATTCAAGTGTACATAGATAACCACATGTATATGAATGTATATCTTGGAACTGAGTCAAGCCAAGGGCATGTGGGACGCAGACCCCAAGCTAGGCTATGGTGGGCAGGTGGGACGTAGACTCGGCCATTTTCTGTGGTCCCCTTGGCAAGCCACATTCGAACATTTAGCGCTTTGTCATGGGGACGGGCCGACGGGTGAAGGAGGCGCCGCACGGGGAGTCTTCCAGGGCTGATGAAGCTGGACAAAGTCGGCCGCGGGTCCCATCTATTTGGTTTTCGCCCAGTATTTCACGCAGCAAACTCCACTGTTTTTCAATTGAGGAAGTCGAATTGAGGCAGTTTTTGTGCAGCCTCGAGGGTTCTGACCAGTATCAACTCAAAATCCGCATTCTTTCCTTTCATCGTGGCTTTCCATGTGAGAAAGGGGCACCATGACCTCGCTTTTCATTGCCTTGGCCAAATGAGCAGAAACCCAAACCCGGGTGATTCATGGTGCGGAACACTCCCATCCGGATGTAGATGCAACTTTCAACTAAACATGTCCTTCATGGTGTGATATGGTCCGACCAAAACAGAGTCCAATTCTTTGGAGTGCTGCCCGACGGACTACAACCTTGGCTTTGTTTCCGACCTACTGTGGGTGGACAAAATCCATTTCGCACCGTTTGAAACCACGGTTGAAACCGTGGTTTGTTGCTTTTCACGGGCGAATCAGCAGAAGCTTAACGGGTTTCTGAACGGTGCGAGAAGCGGATTTCGCAACCCTCCAGAGTATGTTTGGCCTTGGGCTTCCTTTCTCCTTCCTTTCGGCTTCCTTTCGGCCCAGGTCGACCCAGCAAGGCCGTGGATACCATGAAGGCTTGCTCAGAGAGTTGCACGGAAACCCAAAGGTGAACAGGCCAAGGTTGCCCATTTGGGTGTGGCTCACAATTAGCCAGGGTTACGCAGGTTTTAGTGTTTGGTTCCATTGACCAAGGTGCGATGCTGGTGCATCTTTTGGAGCCACAGCCACTTTGGTGCATCGCGTGCATCGCATGCCGGCCGATCATCTGCTTCCCCGCGAACGAAAATGGCCCAAGACTTCGGCTCAGCGCCCACAATCAAAACCTGGGTAGATGAAGGATAGCAAGGGACGATCCCAGTCACAAATAGCTGCGGCCGACTTCTGTTCTCTTTACATGGTTCTGGGTTCACCATTTTAGTACCGGGTTTTGATTATGACTCACATGGCCATAGGCATAAATCCCCAGCGACTGCAGCAGGTCCTCAGCTATTTGCCGGCAAATGAGGCCTTTGGTGCAGCGAAGGTCTCTCAAACCTTTCAGAAAGTTCAAGCATCTCTTGATGCAGGGCTCTTTCTGAGTCAAATCCGGCCAGGTGCATGGCTACGTAGAAACGACTTGGACCAGGAGTTTAACCGACGATTGCTGCGTGATTGGCACTTGTGCCTAAGAGACTCTGCAATGCAAGTCGCCTATGTCGACTACCGCCAGCATCTTGTCTATGTTGAGCCCAGTTGCTCATTGGCAGCATCACCTCAAGGCCAGGATCCCTTTCCGGTGAGTGCGGACCGTCCAGATTACTGTTGTTCGATCGAGCCCTTCAACTCGAACTGCTTGTGGTGGGACTGCCTTCAAGGAGAGCTTTTTGACTGGCCACGAGTCGAACATTCGGACGCTCAAGTTAATTCTCCCCCAGCTCCACATGCAGTTGCACATGCCGGCTATCAGCCCCACGCCAGGGAAATGCCAGTGGAAATGCCTTTCGAATTAGAGGCAGTGCCCGGGTATAACGGGAGTCTTGCGGCACCCAAGCTGCAGGATGATGTCTTGGGGATTTTGTCCCTGAATGCAGCTTGGTTCTTTTGCAGCTTCTGGACGCGCCAACTCCAAGGCATTTTTCTCCTGCGGGATGGCCGTTTTTTACTCGTTGGAAGTTGTGAAATGCAAGGCACCATTGATTCTCAGGCCCAGGCCAAAGTGTATCGTGGCTTTGTGGCCAACTCACTGCTATCTCTGGTGACATTTGCCCAAGATCCACGCAGCCGGGAGATCTTACGAACCCGCCTGCCCTTGGGACAAGACGACAGAGGTGTGAAGCCAACAGAGCTCGCTGTCAAGATCCCCCGCGTTCAACACGACACCGAGGACTTTGAAAAACGCTTTGGACCTTTCCTACGTGCATCGAAGTCATGTGACGCGGTCTTGTTTAGCACCTCGGAGTTGAACCACGAAGGGTGCAAACACCTGAGAGCTGGCGACAGAGTTCGAGTCCTGCGCCGAGGAGATATGCTTATTTGGAGTTCCTGTTGGTGCGAGGATTGGGCCGCACCACAGGGAGCTGTTTCACCTCAGCGTGACACAGAGTACCTGGAGCGAGCCTCCCAAGAGGATTTGCACTTCAGCACCTTTCCTGGCGGTTGCCATCTGGGATTGCGCACGGGTAGTTGGTATGATGCTGAAGTGGTCCATGTGAATGCTGACAACACTCTGGATTTGAAGTACACGAATCCGGGAGAATGGTCAAATGGAGCATCTTTCTTTACTGACTCCCAGGGAAATGACAGGAACGAAGCACCCATTGAAGCGGATGTTGCCATTGAGAGAGCGAAATTACTACCGACGAGTAGATGGTACTGGGCATTCCAAGATGTTTGGAAAGGATGTGGATGCTTCTCTAGTGTCAGCATGAGCTTTGCGGATGGAGGTGGTCGTTCCGGCCCTGGCTTTGCGAACAATACAAGCGAGGATGCAAAAGCGGGAGATTCCAATGCCGCCCGCTTCCTGAAGCTGGCAGATGTGTTCGCCGACACTGCTGAGGCGCATCGTTTCAGATTCATGACGCTCTTTGAAGAGAAAGACATGTTGGCTGGGAAGGACCGGCACTCTATCGAGGAACTTCACTCGACAGCTTCAAGCGGATTCCCTCGAGAAGCTCACATGGCCTTGGGTAAGCGCCTCTTTCTGCAGCTGCTGCGCACCTCCTTTTGGGAGAAGTGGACCGTGCAGGGGGGCGAGAGCCCATCGAAAATCAGCAATGTGCTCCAGAAGGACGCATTTCTGCGATTAATCGTTCTATAAGACAACAGGGATGTAGCCGACAGAGACTCCAAGAGAGACTGTGGGCTTTTCTAAGCAGAGTCTAGTTGCTGGACATGCACACGCTTCAGGAGCTTTTTCTTTCCGCGCTTTTCTCGGCGGAGTCAAGCTGCCGGACATGCGCACGCTTGAGGAGTTTTTTCCACGCACCCTTTTCCGGCTGCCCAGCAAACACGGCTACGGGGTGAGTGTTCGTGGAACATTGGTTCAATGTTTTGTCCTTTTCTTGTAGTGACGTGAGAAAGCATGTTAACGGCAAACCGATTTCGCTGGACGCGCTGTACAGTGTACAGAAGGGGGAGAAAATACACATAGATAGGTAGGTAGGTAGGTAGGTAGGTAGGTAGGTAGGTAGGTAGGTAGGTAGGTAGATAGTGGATAGATAGATTGATGAAGAGATAGATAGATGGATAGATAGACATATTTATGGAGACAGAGAGAGAGAGAGGGAGACAGAGAGAGACAGAGAGAGAGAGAGAGAGAGAGAGACCCCTAATACAGTTTACTTCTACAGTGGACCTCTGGTGGACCATAAGGAGCCCAACATGTAGCCCACTTGGGGCCATGGTTGTGGAAAATAGGGCCTGTAGGGGCTAAAATCACGGCTGGGTTGGGTCTTTCGTGAATCCTCAGCCCGTACTGGGTTGCCATTGAGCCTCCAGCAGGTTGCACACGTGTGCATCTTATAATACGTAGAATGTATATATATATATGCATAGGCATGGACACATAGACGTTTGGCTCAGAAGAAAAGGACCCCGTTCGCACTGTTTTTTTTGTCTCCACCTCACCTGTCGCCTTTTTCGCGCAGATCTTGCTGGAGAAGCGGGCGAAACTGGAGGTGGAAGATGACCTGGGCTGGACTGCCGTGTGCTCGGCAGTCTGTGAAGGATCTTTGTCGTTGAGCAAATGGAGAGCCTCACGTTGAAACACCGTGCTGCTTTGATTTGGTTTGGGCTATTCCGTTGACTTAAGCAGGAACTCGAGCTCAAGCAACATAATTATACTTTTGAAGGACGCTGACATGTGGCTGCCCCCCCCAATGACAACGCATAGCGCTGCCATGAAGTCACCAGTGCTTCACCAGTAGCAGGGGAAAGTCCGGACGGTTGCGGGCAATACTCGAATCAGCAATGAGTCACTGCTGAATGGAAGTATGTGTTTTTCTTGAAGCAGGGCTGTGCTTGTTTCATGCCTGCTTCTCGCAGCAGCGATTGGGAAGCAATCCATTCTTGTGTGCGTGTGCTGCATGTGCGTTGCGCCAGCTCGGCATTGTGTTTTTGGACAACTAGTTATACGGAGGCCAGCCATCACGCTGCCGCCTAGTTCTGTGACACCTGGCAGACAATCAGCCGGATGCATCTACTGAACTTCATTGGTAACTCCCTGATTCCGGCATGCGGCTGAGTCGGTGCTGACTGTGGTGAGAAATACCACGACTCCCCCCAACCCTTCTCCATCATTCGAATATACCAGGCCAATTGTGTGTGGATACTTCGGGATACAATTCAATGGCTTGCCTTGATGCACGGAAGCATCCTTTTTTGAAGGCTTAAGTTCGGTGCAAACTTTCCGGCTGCCGATAGCCATGGAAGTCGAGTTGTCTTTGTCCAAGGGAATTTCAGCTACCAGGCACCATAATCCAAATCACCTCCAGCTGAAAGTCGCGGAGTCCTCTGCGGGAATGTGTGAAATTTGGGGACCTCGAGCCTCGAGATGGTCCTCTGGAAGCTAGTTTGAAATCAAACCAGTAGATGGCGCCTATATTGCTGCATGTTCCATCCACAGCTGACCCAACCAAATTATGTTCTGGGTTGAAGGAGTGCCAGTGGCCTGGAGAATCGCAGGACGTTTGACAGCTAGTGTCGCAAGATTCAGACCACCACCAGATGTTCAAGGAGGAGCCAGGCATTCGTTAGAGTGGGGTTGCTGATCCTGAGGACATATTGAAGCCTATATTACGTCTTTCGCGGCCAACGACTCTGTTTGAAATTGTTTAAACAATAAATGATACTTCTTGTTTTTTGCGATGTTTGTTTAGAGACACATTGCATTGCGATTTTGCCAATCGCGATCCGAGGCATTACTGCACGCATGCAGAAACAACAACGAGGCCGGGACAGGCGCCCAAAGTTCCTTTTCCCTGGCTGCAAAGGCCGGACTTGCACGTGTACTGCGCATGACTTTCAGTCACATATGTTTTGAAAGCCAACTTGTTTGACACACAAGAAACAGTTGCCCTTCAGGAAATCACAGGTATGGCTTCAATATGGGACGCAGCTTTCTTGGGAAGCTGGCTTCCGCGCATTGCCACTCATTAACAATAGTCTTGATCACCCGTCAGCCCTGCCCAGTAGTCCCGCCTGGTGTTTCCTAAAGATGATGCCATGGCAGTCGGATGGGGTTGCCCGTCTAGACTTAGGATACATTTTACATTTTTCCAGTGTCTCAAAGTGAAGCAAACAATAGAATATACATTCCACTGGGTCTACCTCTAATGGTTGGATCTTGCTTATGGACTTGGGATCCAACATTGATAGAGTGTTCATGTTGGCCAAGCATACGAGCGTAGCAGCCGAACGTTCAAGAGAATCACATAGCCATGTCCATACCCAAGTTTGTTTGTTCCATACAAAGGGTTTGCACAAGTCTCCTGCCTGCCAGCCCATGGCTAGGTGTTCGAGGCGCGAAGGTCCATCCGCGGATGGCCTGAAGGCTATCATGGATATCCGTCGGCTATCATAATTTTGACACCTGGTGTTTATGCGTTACTGGCTCTGTTTGTTGATCTGGGTGTGGGTCAAAATGAAACCACCAGGGGGCCGCAGGTTTTTATTTCTATTTACCAGGGTTCCATATTGGCAACACCTCCTATAAGAGAGTGCTAGGTTGACTAAGCCAAGGAGACCCATAGTCGCATGGCTCCCAACTTGGCAATCGCCTCTCCCCTTAAACCAAGTCCCAGTACTCAGCAAGGTACCCTTTTTATCTTTTTGCTGGGGTCTTCCGCCAAAAGTTGTGAACTCAAAGCTGAGATCTCAGACACTGATATGCGCACCATATAATATACCTCCTACCAATGAATACGGAACCCGGGGGGCTCCGAACCGGGTCCCTGTCAGAACATGTGACAAGAATGGGAGTCCTGAGGTTGGCTCACAGAAAAATCGGACGACAGGCGTGGTATACCCAGTTGGGGTTGAGCCCCCATTGGGTCGCCTTTTCGTGTCAGGAGGCCGCCCAGCTGCTTTTGCAGACCAAAGCGGAGGTCCAGAAGAAGGCGCTGACATGCGCAGGTGGCTCAAGGTGCATTGGGGGGGCATCCCACTTCACTTGGGAGCCAGACCCGCTAAACATGCATGTATACATATACGCATGCATGAACATATACATATATATATATATATATATATACACATGTATATGTATGTTGTATCGTATTTACCTACATATGCACATATATATATATATGAATACATTTACACATCGCCTAGCTTATGCGTGGCGTACGTAGAATCCTGCACACCCTGAGTGCAAAGCTGACCCACCCAGACACACACACACACACACACACACACACACACACACACACACACACACACACACACACACACACACACACACACACACACACACACACACACCCGCCTTTACATTCAATCCGAAGTAGCTCGGGGAGCCCCAACAAATAGATATAAATTATATGTGTTTTTGTTTTTTTAATGTTTTCCCTGGTTTTAAAGGGAATCTATCACTACTGGATTATTATGTTTTTGTTCAGGGGTCTTAACCCAATGGAAGATATAGTTTCCTTACTTACAAGGGTAGTCACCCCTGAATTTCGGTGGTAAACGAGGGTGGTCATTTTCTGGTCAATTGGGGTACATGCGCTCCCTCCAGGTACATGACGTCAGCCTTTTTTACAGTTCCATCTTACAATAAATGGAGTTTGCGCAACTCAGGTCGACCTCGGAAAGGCACTTGCTTGTGCGACCTTACCCCATGATGAAAGTTGGATTCCTTGCTTCAGGTTGGTGAATCATCACATTATTCACACAGATGGGACGGGTCTTGTTCGCGCGTGACCTTTTTAAAAGGTGAAATTAAGGTGGCAGCATCCTGTTAAAGGGTTCCCACATTTTACAAAACACCCCGGGATCTCTCACGACTTGTTCTTTCAAGTTTCACCATGGGCCAGAATCACATCGATGATTGCACGGGCCAAAAGCTGCAAAGAGAAACTCTGACTCCGCCGCCCGCCAGTTTTGCTCCATCTCCGCACCTGCCAAGTGTCAAAACGCCATGGCTCGTTGCCTCGCAGTTCTGGCGCTGCTCGCCGCAGCTCAGGCAGTGGTGCGACCGAATCGGCCCGACTTCCAGGTGCTGAAATGAATTCCTCTCTTTTTTTAATACGCTGGTTGTAAAGGGAATAGATTTCACTGCTGGACAAAGTTTGTTTTTTCCAGGGGGCGAAAAAGCGAATGAAAGTGGACCTTTTGGAAACAAGGGGTTTTCCTTTGTACCTACGCAAGGTTAGATCTTTTGCTCAAAAAAGAGCAACCCAATCAATTGGGTTTGTTTGGTCTGCCAGGCTCCCGAATTACACGCTCATGTGCCTTTGAACCTCAGCTGGTCCTTTTTTAACTGAGGTCCCTTTGGTGTGATTTTTAACGGGGGACTATAGGGACTTTGCTTCCCCAGAGTAGGGCTTCCGCTATGTAGCCCCGTGGTTTACCTTTTTTTCAGCAAGAACATGGATAATTTTTCCCATTCAGTGGTGAAAGCCATCTTTTGGTGGTTTCCCTAATGGTCACCCCATGTTCATCGGACCCCCACATCTTTGCTTTAACGGGCACCCCCCAAGAAATGTGGTTTACCTCGTGGTTTCCCTTTGGAAGCCATAAACAAAGGGTATCCTCACCCATATGGCTGCGGCTCAAAAATGTGGTGCCAACATGGCACCTTGGTAAATGGAACCAAAGACGAAAACCCGCGTAACCCCAGCTCTTTGATTTTGAGCCATACCCATATAAAGCGCCTGCACCCCTCACCGTTTTCAAGCGAAAAAAGTCGCTCGTCGCTCGTCGGTAGCTCTGGCCAGGCGAAGCTGCTCATCCAAAAGCCGGCGCCAGAGTTTGAGCTGGATGCAGCCATGCCCGACGATTCCACCAAGAGCCGCTTGGAGTCAGCCCGAGTTCTGTTGTTGTTTTTTTTGTGTCCAGTGGGTCTCTGTTCGGTGTTGGGTAAATCTCTCTGCAGGCAGCCTACGGAACCCTTGTTCTACGCAACTGGAATGTGACGACGACCTTTTGCAATTGGATCCAATGTATGCATATATCGCCTACATTGGCCGACGCCCGCGTTTTTCAACTACATTGACCGATAAACCCGAATGTAGCCAATTTTTGGGGACATTCAAACCGACAACTTCCGACAAGGGTTCCGACAAGCCTTCCGACAACAAGCTCGCCTCAATTTCGGCGACTCTATCCGACGACGCCCTCCAACCAGCCTTTTCCAATGCCTTTCCGACCGCTAACTTAACTCACAATGCAGGAAAATACAAAGGCACGCCGCAAATTGCTGTACGGACAAAACTTAAACTGCGAATGACTGGCAACAACTACAGGGCCCAAACAGGGCACATAATGATTCGAGCCAACCCCGGCTATCATTGTCGGTAAATGTTGGTTGCCTGGCATGCAACAGAAGGAATCGACTAGCATAGTGTAGCAGATCCTGCTGAGGACTTCCCATTGTAACGTTAACCATTTTGACGGGCTGGCTGGCTTGACGAAACAGTGTGGCGACGAAGCACATGTGCGATAGTTCAAGCTTTTCAGGCCACACCGTGAAGCACATTTCCAGAACTGGGTCACTCTAAGGCAACGCCGGTTAGCAAAGATCACTCAACAAACATAATTATTGCGCATGGAGGACAACAACTCCTTGCAAATCACCTCGCAGCAGGAGATCCTGCCAGCAGTCACTCTCAACACAACCTATCCAAACGCTGATGGGGGTTGATACCCCCCCAACCAAAAAGGTAAAGCAGAATGATGCTACATCGTCGTTGTCCACAGTTACACAATTTCGTCAACTTGCCCGTGCGTAGCTTAAATGTGTTGCTTCCTGATTGCTTGCAAGCTGCAACCTCTGGCTTTGCGAGCTAAGTTTCTATTATGTTTGATGCGTGCCCACGCAGGGGCCATGGATCATCATGACAAGCTTGTTCGCGGGCCATAAGCCGTCGACCGAAGGCAAGGGGTCAAATTTCCAACAATCACATCTCCAACCAAATACTTGCTTAACACCACGCCGCAACCCCGTCCAGAGCGCAGCCCATCTTAAACAGCCCTTGCTGTTCAAAGCAGGTGTTTCATTTGTTTCCAGGAGGCTCACTTTGAAAGCATGCTAGCCTGCTAGCAGTTCCCAAGCACCATTCGAGCGGCAACTGCTTGCCACGCGAAATTTCACTGGTCAGATAGAAATTAAGGCTCTAATCCTGCCATGCCCCATGCCGCAATGCAAAATTCACAGACTTAACAAAAACAGCTTTGTCAAACGAGATGTGCTGGGAAGGGCTCAAGCGGCGGTCTTGAGGAGAACGGATATGACGCAGTCCAAGCCCCATATGTTTTTTTTGCAAGGGCTTGGTTTATCGATGAAACCCAACTAAAAAGGGCACGAGTAACATGTTTGCCTAATGCTCTCCTTGATTAAACACTCCGAATGCTTTGGGGCATACAGTATTCCATTTGTCCGACAAACGCTTCTCCGCTGATAAGTTCTAGGCCGGCTTGCCAGGTGACACAATCAATCAATCAATCAATCAATCAATCAATCAATCAATCAATCAATCAATCAATCAATCAATCAATCACTTCCAACTCACGGTGCAAACAAAAATCGAGCCTCGTCCGACGTGTCAACACATGAACACAGTTCGGCAAAAAACATCACGCTATTTCACGCTATTTCACGGTTTTCCGTTAACGTAAGCAAAAATAAGAAGACAATCCGACAACTTTTCACGCCAAATCACGGTTTGCCGTTTGCACAAGCAAAGGACAGGAACACAATCCGAGAAGAAGTCACTCAAGAACAACGACATTTGTCGGGTCATTTACTCCAAATCGCTTGCTAATTTTGGGCATGCAGGTGTGAAGAACATGGTAGGGACATACTTTGGTCAGCCAGGGGGAATAAACGGACCTTGCTGAACTTCTTTTGGGTAGCAACAATAGGCACCTGTTGGGCCTTTAGTAGACCAAGCTTTGAATAGGCAAGACTGAGCTTTTTGCATGGCTGATGCGATCCCAGAGCTGATGCGAGTAGACAATCCGGATGCCGAGTCTCCAGCATGCCAATGAAAACTGAAGAGCACTGAAGACATGCATGCTAAGCTTGGTGGCTCCTTATCCGAGTTTACATAGCAATCAGTATTACCAAGCTAATAGTACAGATTGCGCGTGCAGCATCATATATCCCATGCTCAATCGGCAAAACGCCAGGCCTGCCCACGCAATGTAGTCATTGACCTAAACCTACAAATCTGAGCTTAGATATTCATCATCTTGAACTGCATGTGTACATAAAGTCTTGCACATGCGTATATACATAAATTTGCACCTGCGTAACATGTGTATGTCTATGTTTTGCTTAGCGGAAAACGCTTTTTGGCAAAATAAACTTGGAGTTTCTTTTTGGTATGCTTGGACATCTTGCTGCGTAGATTGAGCACGCTTGACTGGCCAACAGTTACTGGGTGGCAGTTGGGAGTCGGCTCGGCAGGCCAATTTGGCTTGGCGCTCCTCATCTCAATCATTCGGCACAGCCAGAAACATGTCCATACTTGCAATCGCGTGTAGGCTGTACTGTTGTAAAACGAATCCCTGGCAGTTGATAGATGGCTGTGCTTTCCAATGCGGCTCAAGGTCGGCAAGTCCGTGCCTTTGGCGCAGAGCATGTTGAATTCGTAAGCTTATCATTTCAAATACGCATAATCCAAGATCAAAGCACGTTTACATGGGCAATAGAGCTCGAGGGTGGCTTTGCGTTGCACGGTTGAACAATTTGCGTACTCAATACTTAGAGCGGCTTTCTCACAAGAGTGCACCAACGCTGCACGCACACACAGTCCCATAAGAATTGCCCAAGTGCACGAACAGAATCATTCCTGCAATTGTTGATTTGTTTGTTTGGCGTAGCCTGCTCATACGGAAAAACACTTGCGAGAGTCTGATGGCGAGCTCTCAACCATCGCTAGCTACAAACGTC